TAGCTTTCCAGGTAAGCACTGGCGACACAGAGCTGATTAAGACATAGTCCCTGTCCTAAAAGATCTTAATGGAAGTGCCTAAGGCATTGGACTGCTAACCAGAAGGCTGGAGGTTCAAACCCACCAGCCACTACTCGGAAGGAAGGTTGGGCAATCTACTTCCGTAGTGATACTGCCTTGGAAACCGAAGGATCTTACTTGACCACAGTGAGTTTGGTTTGGAGAGTTTAAATCACTTTTTCCCCTACATTTTTATTATGAAAAATTATGAACATACAGCAAAGGTGAAAGGATTTTTTATGGTCTGTATACCAACCACCTAGTTTCAAACATTTAACATTTCTGGTAAATTTGCTTTCCACATATGTGTCTACCGTATGTATCAGCTCTTCTTTAACTGTTTCTTTGGGTAAATACTGAAGAGTAAAATTGTCAGGTCATGGGGCGGGTTGTATGTTTAATTTTCTTGTTTGTTTTAATAGCTTTATTTTGTAATACTTTACATGCCATAAAATGCAGCCATTTTAAGTGTACCATTCAATGATTTTTTGTAAACTGACAGATTTCTGCAATGATCCCAGTTATTCGATTATGGTGTACATCCATTACTGCAGGTCCTTCATGCCCATGTGCAGTAAATTCCGGTTCCCGCCCACAACCCAAGCTGCCATGAATCCACTTAAACCCAAACCAAACCATTGCCATGGAATCCATTCAGACTCACACCAACCCCATAGGGTTTCTAAGGCTGTAAATCTTTATGGAAGCAGACTACTGCACCTTTCTTCCACAGAGCCACTGGTGGGTTTGAACCACCGACCTGTGGTTAGCAGCCCAATGCTTTAACCACTGCTCCACCGAATTTACGTAAGTGTCTCTATATATTTGTCTTTCCCGGCATCACTTATAAATGGAATCATACAATCTATGGTCTTTTTCGCTTTGTCTCTTGCACTTATCATAATGTGAGGCTGGCACAGCACTCGACAGTGTTTCGTTCTATTGTACAAAGCGTTGCAATGACTCGATGGAACCTAACAACAACAAGGTTTGGAGACTCGGCCATGCTGTAGTCCATTCCTTTTTATGGTTAAACAGTACCCCACTGCACAGACATACCATGCTCTGGCTACCTATTCACCAGGTGCTGGGCATCTGGATTATTTCCACATTCTGGCTGCCATGAGTAATGCTGCTACAAACAGTCACGTATGACTCTGTGTGCACGGGCTTCCATTTGTCCAGACGCCTAGGAGGGGAACTGCTGAGTCATAATGTAGATATACTGTTTTTCAAAGTGGGTGCAGCACTTAAATCCCAATCAGCCATGTATGAGGGTCTCAGTCTCTCGACATCCGTAGTAATACCTGCTGCTTTTTTAGTATGTCTTTTTGAGTATAGCCAGCACGGTGGGGGTGAAGGGACATGCATCTTTAGCTTTATAATGGTCAGAACTTTCTCAAAGGGGTTAATCCAATTTACACACCCACCCAAAAATATGATGCCCAACATGGTATCACAGGAGGTTTCAATTTAAACTGAAAATA